CCCCCCCAGGACTGGGCCAGTCCACTTCCTCCTCCCCCCCCAGCGAGACTGGGCCAGAGAGCCTCCCTGGTCTCAGTCCTGCCTGCTGTCATTTTCCCCACACAGCAGCGCTGCAGGTCAGAATGTTGTCCTGAACACGTTACAGGGCTCTGGACTTCACTACCAACCCCAGGCAGGGAACTAAGGACATTAGTTCAATTAAGCAATTAACCAGATGAGTATCTAAGCACTGGGAGGGTACTGGGGGACCCGTCCTGTCCTCCACGATCCCCACACCACTCCAGACCCACCTTCCTCAGCAGTCTGGCCTGGCGCAGTTTCCACAGCAGCGCCAGGAGACAGGGGCTCAGCAGCGCCGCCCACAGGCCTGGCAGCGGTGCCTCAGGCCTGTCCCCAGGGAGCAGGAGCACACGCGAGCTCAGCGGCGCCCCCTGCAGGGCCCGAGCCCACGCCGCGGCTGCCAGCGCCAGGCAGCACGAGGCTCCCAGCAGCCCCCACCGAAGGCCGCGCGCGCTGGGAGGCAGAGAGACGACAGGAACAGCGTGAGGAGGAGCAGAGACGAGAAAGACACACAGGAGGACGTGGAGGAGCGGGAGATGCAGCTCATTACTAGGGCCCTTCCCCGCCGTACTCACCCCAGCCCCCCGCCCCGCCGCGCGGCCCCCACGACCCGGCTCCCGGCCGTGCTCATGTCTCTCCCAGGACAGGTAATGGAGGCGCCGGGGAAGCCGGGTCTGCCTTCCTCTTCAGAGCTGCAGGAATGCGGTCGGACCAGCGGGATGAGCAGCCCTGCCTTCCCGAGGCAGCGCTGGAATGCCGTGGAGGCCACGGAGCCCGTGGTGTCATTCTCGGGACAGCTGAACAGCGCCGCCCCCGCGGCGGGTCCAGGGGCTGCCGGGCAGTGAGGTGCTGCCCCAGGGCAACCAACCCCTTGGGCATTTTTGCCATTCAAGATTGTTCCTGCTGATCCTGCTCTGTACTTGAACTCCCTCTTTGTAGCCAGACATGTCAAAGCAGAAAAGCCACCCTTCTTACCTCTCACTGCTGCGCCCTGCCTGCCAGTCAAGACAGCTGTCTGCTCCAGGCCTCCCTCTACAGAGCTGGGTGTGTTCATGGCAACCCCCCGACACGGACACACACGGACACACACGGACACACACGGACACACACGGACACACACGGACACACACGGACACACACGGACACACACGAGCTCCAAGCACAAACCATGTCCAAGTCCAGTTTAACTCTTCAAGTTTTATTTTCACACAAATACAATCTACCACCTGTTAAAAGGAACAACATTCAGCAAACTGAATCTGGGACTAGTACAAGACTGTGAGAGTCCCTAGTGCTGTGAGCTCAAAGAGTGGAACGCAGCCGGAGACACGTTCCTGGAGACGAGGGGGATCACGCGGCCTATGGCAGCTCAGGGAGAGGAGCCGCCCTGCAGCATGCTGGGAAAGGCAGCTGTGCTGAGAGCCGTCATGGCGGAACTTTCCTGCGGACAATGATGGAGGACCAGAGGGCCCCCCAGACCGCGTGCATCGGGCTGCTCAGATACGGCGCCCCCCGGCACGCGCTTCCCACAGTGCCGCTGCTCCGCGGCTGGGACACCACACCCGACCCCGTCGGCCAGCAGGCACACGGGCAGGCTAAACCAGCCCGGCTGACGTGGAGCGCCAACAAGCAGAGGGCATCCGCACGCGCCCCAGCCCGCCGACCCGCGGTAGCGCACGCTGTCAGAGGCAGGCCTGCCGAAACCACGGCCCTGAGTGGCTCTGCCCCCCAGGAGCCCCGTCCCCGCGCCACACCGCGGCCAGCGGCCCAGCGGGCGAGACTAAACAGCCAACAAACTCCGGCACTGTCCTTCTCCTCCGACGAGACGCACTAATAAAACCTCACAGCTGGCCCTCCAGCACACAGCGCACGATACGTCCCCCTGGCCTGGACCCCAAACTTGACGTTACCCCTCCTGCACTGACACTGCCCTCCCCTCGACCCCGAGCAAGGATCGGCCAAGGCTGGAACGGCTCCTCCGCACTCCTGCAGAGCTCTTAGTTACTTACTGTTCTTTTCTTACATTTAATTGATCAAAAGTTCTTCTGAAGCTGGAGACTTCGAGCACTCAGCTTCAGAAGTCAGGAGCAAGGAGCTGTAAAACGATGATGACTGCTGTTAAAGGAAACGGGCGAGTCCGGGGGGGGCAGGGCGAGTCGGGGGGTGCCGGTCGCGGACGTGTCCCCCTCCGCCTCCTCACGCGACAGGGAGCAGCACCTTCTGGCTGCTGACGATGTCACTGAGCTGCCGCTTGATGTTCAGGAAGTGGCGCTTGAACTCCAGGCCGTCGCCCTGAACATGGGGAGAGGGAAACGTAGTGCCGCATTTGTGAGACTGTCAGAACCGAGGAGCGAAGAGATCCTCAACCCGCGAGCAGTCAACAGAGGCCCCTTTGAGCCACACGGCCCGGGTCCGAGCTCACCTTGGACAGCCTGAAGTCCATCAGGATCTTCTCTTCCATTTCCAGAAGATGCACCTTGAAGATCAGCTTGTTGTTACGGCGATCCATTGTGGAGACGGTTACCTAGGAGACAGAGTGATGCGACACGGGACGCAAGGTCATGTGACCATGCTTCAACACTCATGACATGTTTAGATAACACCAGCCTTAACCAGCCCTGACAGCATCCAGGCAAGGATAAATGGTGTTGACACTTTGTGTTTGCCAATCACAGTGATAAGTGATGACATTATACTGAAGATCATTTGTAGCACCAGCATCAGAATCACATACACCATTTCTACCAGTGTGTTATTTACCTGAAGGTGTGACTGCATTAAAAAACAGTCTTTTAGGAAAAATCATCACTATTTTAAGATTAAGATGTACAGCAAAATTCTGATTTCATATTTTTATCAAATGAATGCACTGTGCAGCTAGAGTCCCTCCCCCCTCGGTACCTGATTGGTGCAGGTCTGTTTCCTGAATGCACCGTGCAGCTACAGCCCCGCCCCCCTCGGTACCTGATTGGTGCAGGTCTGTTTCCAGGTGTAGCCCATGCGCAGGCAGACCTTGCGCAGTGTAGCGCAGGATTGTTCTGCCTCCAGCGTGGTGAAGAAGCGCGTCATCCTCTTGACCAGCCGCTGCCAGGGGGTCTGACAGAGAGAGACATCATGCCTACAGTGTGCTGTGACCCGGGTGTCCCCTGCGCGAGCGCCCGTCCCCTGGGCGGCGTGTGCTGTGACCCGGGTGTCCCCTGCGAGAGCGCCCGTCCCCGCGCGGCGTGTGGTGTGACCCGGGTGTCCCCTGCGAGAGCGCCCGTCCCCTGGGCGGCGTGTGCTGTGACCCAGGTGTCCCCTGCGAGAGCGCCCGTCCCCTGGGCGGCGTGTGCTGTGACCCGGGTGTCCCCTGAAGACCTCACCTGGCTGGACCCTGGCGTTCCCAGCAGCTGGCTGCCCAGCAGCATGTGCTCCGGGCAGGCCGGCTGGGAGAAGCTGATCTGCTGCACCATGGCCTGCATGCTCCCGGGACTGGACTCCCAGGACGACGCGCCTGTGACCGGCTCGGGCTGGGAGCTCGAAAACTGCACCCTGTCCTCACTGAGGAGGACACCGGAGGGACAGGGAAGGAAAGGAGAGAGAAACGTCTCCTGAATGAAGTGTCCGGAAAAGCGCTATACTAGTGAAAGGGATTATTATTATGCTGTAAAAACAAATAAGTAGCTTTTTCTTGGCCACAGTCACAATGATTGCAAAGCAAGGGCTTCTGATAAGTGAGAATTAGAGACCATCTTCACATGCTGTATGTGGGGAAACACACAGCTCAGCTGCAGTGGCCCATCAGGACCCGGGGGGGAGAATGGCCCTCCCCACCACGCGCCGCGCCTCGCCACGCCACCACACTGACCTGCCGGCCCGGCCCACCGGGACCCTCTCGGAGTCCGAGCGCAACAGCTTGTGCCCCAGGCCCGGGGAGTCGCCCTGCCCCCCGGAGGAGAGAGGAGGCCGCTGCGCCCCTGAAAAAAACAACAGCGCGTCACCGCCCCGTCGCGGTCGGAGCACAGCCGGTCCGGAGCAGCAGAGCCACAGCAGAGGACGGGAACACAACCGGATCGCTTGGAGAGAGCGGGTCAGCGTGCCCCTCCTGGCTCCTGGGAGCAGAGGTCAGCAGCTCTATCTCTGGCCGCCCACTGGAGCCCAGCAGTGAGAGCCTGGCCAGTACCTGGAGGGGAGGAGTCCGTGGGGCCAGCAGGGGGCGCTCACCCTGGGGTCTGTGTGGGTCCTAATGCCCCAGTACAGTGACGGATGAGATGTAAAATCGAGGTCCTGACTCTCTGTGGTCATTAACAATCCCGGGGTGTTTCTCAAGAAGATTTGTATGTGTTTCTTTGCTATAAAATACTATACTATAAAATGCTATAAAATGTCAACAGCCTTGAGTTAAATTTTTCTTCTCCTAAAAGTGTCTGCTCTGCTACTTTGGACATTAATATGTTGATATATCTTGCTAGCACCTATATCACCCTGCAGCTTCCGGCTGGCAGCCCCACTGGAGCTCAGCAGTGTGAGCCTGGTCAGTACCTGGAGGGGAGACTCCTGGGAGAGCTGAGGCTGCTGCTGGGAGAGGTGTCAGTGGGGCCAGTAGGGGGCGCTCACCCTGGGGTCTGTGTGGGTCCTAATGCCCCTGTATAGTCATGGGGACACTACACTGTAAAAGGCCTCCTAATAACCCCCGTCTCTGAACTGGCCTCATCACTCTGCTCTCCTCCCCGCTGAGAGCTGGTGTGTGGGGAGCGGACTGGAGCATCATCCAGGTGGGGGTACACACTGGTGGGGGTGGAGGGGATCCCCCCGACCTGTAAAGAGCTCTGAGTGGAGGGTCCAGAGAAGCGCTATAGCAGTGTAGGGAGTTACAATTAACACCATTACTAGCACTGGGCAACTTCTCCCCACAAAGTGCCTCATAAAAACTTTCAAAGGAGGTTGTTTTCTTGAAGTCACCCTCTCGATCGGAACCGCACCTGACTTGCAGCCCCTGGTGAACCAGTGGTCCTTCTTGATGTCCGGGATGGCGATGCGGCTGGCAGGGTCATGCAGCAGGATCCGGGTCAGCAGGCCTGCGGTCAAGCAGAGACAGGGGGCACACCCCCCAGGATTGAGGGCCGGGGTTCACTGGAGGCTCCACCCCGTAACGCAACTGCGCAGTAGTCCGAGGACTTTGACAGAAAAGTATTAAGACACAATAAACTTTGAGAACGATGAAACTCCTCCACCACCTCGACAGCTCTCAGGGCGGGCAGACAGAAGAGCCTTACTGAGCGGGGCCGCGTCCATCTTCTTCCAGGGCGAGAGGAAGGTCTTCCCCTGCAGCCAGTCGGAGTACTCCTGGCAGGTCTCGCTGGGCTGGTCCCACGGGAGCTCTGCGGCGGCACAGCGACGGGGCGCGTCAGACTGAGAGGGCAGCACTGCAGTGCCACCGGGGGAGACGAGCCTCCGCCGTCCCACTGACCCCCCGGGACACACACACACCGGACCCCCCCTGGGACACACATAGTCACCCCTGACACACACTGACCCCCCC